TTTACCGTTCATATGGAATCCAACAATACGGGACATCAAGCCGACAACCAAAGCAGGATTTCCTAAGAAATCATCTATAAGCCACCAGAATGACTTATAGGCAGACTTAAGTATTTAGGGGTTTGGCAGATTTGGTTAATTCAGTTGACCCACTAAATAATCAACTGAAAACTAAACTAAATCTAATAAAGTTAAAAGTAACCACAGGAAGCCAAAGATTTGCCTGTTGGACGGTACAGTAATAAGTCTAAATACACCTACTAAAATGCGTATGCAAGATATTCACGTGAAGTTTTCTAACGGCCCCGGGCAACTTTATTTTTACCCGTACAAGCTTTCCATCAATGATTGAGAAATGAAAAAAACGATTAACTTAAAGGAGTCCCGGCAAAGGCAAGGAAAACTGGTTTGGGCTATTTTGGCTTATTAGTCCTCGTTGTCAACCAACGTAAATCAAATTCAGGCGAGTCGTACCTGAGCCTCGAACCCGCGTTCTTTCCTCATCGAGGGTTCGGAGTTCTATCCTTTAGACCCGAGGCTCTTGCCTTTTCGATCGCGAACAGCAGCCGTATGGAAAATATATTCACCGATCGGGTAATGAAATTTCCTCCTTCAGTTGTGTATTGGGGAGCAATTTAAAGCCCTCGCAGGCAGTCACATAGAGACCAGAAATATACGCTTACTGTGTCCCGACTCCTGTCTCACAAAATAACCGAAGAGAGACTGATTGCCAGGACTTCGTAACCTGTGACGTGGATAAGGCTAGCCGACGAGGAATAATAAAGCAGAACTAGCCATTCTAGCCTCCCTCTCCTTGTCAGTGAAAGCTATCAATCGAAATTAAATGGCTTATGGCGCCTGAGTAAGAGTAACTGAAGAATGATGAAGAGGCATTCAGAACTCGAAAGGGAAAAGGAGGAGGATAAAAACCATTTCCATCATTCCAACTCGAAAGTTCTGCAAATTAATAGCGGGGATATTAAGGAGTGAGCCAGGGTTTAAAATGTTGGACATGCATACTCTGACTATGATTAACATTTGGTGAAATTTTTAAATACTGCCTACAGTAACTTGCATGCTTATGACAGACGCATTGCCTGACGGAGAGCCTGCTCCAAAGCGCAGCAGAATCGAAGTATAAGTCAGGGGTAGGGAGATCACCAAGGTCACTGTATTTACAGAGAATACGATAAGTTGAATTCGGTATAATTTGCTGCGTTGCGACTATTGGCTCCGGCTGCCATTAGGTGTGAAATTTTATGAGGTATGAAATAAGTCACGTTAGCAAAAGTGTCCTCTATGCCATGGCAGTGTTCACATCAAAGTAACTGCGAAGAAATCTGAGAGCAGAGTTATGAAAAAGATTCTACTGTTAGAACGGGCGAAAGAAGTGTCTAAGGAAGTCATGTTCACGCCGTTGCATTTTGCTGGATAGATTTCA